TGTGTGCGTGCGCGTGTGTGTGTGTGCGTGCGCGTGCGCGTGTGTGTGTGTGTGTGTGTGTGTGTGTGTGCGCGTGTGTGTGTGCGCGCGTGTGTGTGTGCGTGCGCGTGTGTGTGTGTGCGTGCGCGTGTGTGTGTGTGCGTGCGCGTGTGTGTGTGTGTGTGTGTGTGTGCGTGCGCGTGTGTGTGTGTGTGTGTGTGTGTGTGTGTGCGTGCGCGTGTGTGTGTGTGCGTGCGCGTTCGCGTGTGTGTGTGCGTGTGTGTGTGCGTGCGCGCGTGTGTGTGTGTGTGTGTGTGTGTGTGTGTGTGTGTGTGTGTGTGTATGTGTGTGTGTGTGTCCTGGCCTTGGTAAAGACTATCTTCGCCTCTTCGTGATCCAAAAATGTCTGCGTCCAATGTTCGTTTCTAAAAGAACGAATAATGATTTAATTTATCCCAGGCGCCGGGATGACATATTAAAGCTATCAAGTAAATCAAACAGATACTGACCAACCGCTCCTCCGTTCAACTGTATAAGAAATCACGGCTTGGTGTTTATACTACCACCTGCCGAAAATCCCTAATTCGCTCGTGGAAGCAGGAGAACCAATTTGGCGCAATAACTCAGTTCTACTTGCGGTGAATTCCGCAGCAGTCGCCAATACCCCATCCAGAGCCACAGCATGAGCTACGCTTAGAATATCGGCACTCCCTTCCCCGATCTGCTAGTGGGCGCCGCCATCTTGGTGCTTAGAGCAGAGCGAACGGAAATGTCGATCGACATAATTCAAAAAGGCGACTTCCTCAGCTTTAGACAGGGCGGTATGAAGCTCAAGTGATATCGTCTCGCTCTGTCGCGAACTGTACTAAACATTTCCGGAGAACAGAAAAACATTTCCTGCGATTTCAGCTAAAGCTTCAGGTAACTGGCAACCATGATTTTAAGCACCAAGATGGCTGAAGTGTCGTTACTTTGAAGCGTAGCTTTAAGAAACGCCAGGTGTGGTTCATTGTGTTCGCGCTTCTTACATCGTGGTTCGTTGTTCGGAATCCTTATTGGTTAATGCCGCCGTCCGATTGGCCGACGAGCGATAATGAGATGCTCAAAACTCGTGGCGCCCTCTGTTGGTGAAGTTGTCAGTGACTTTAGAATATAGATCACTCAGCTCTATGACAAGAGTTGACGCCAGAGCGTATAATTTAATAAGATGCTTCGTACAGCGCCCAAATCAGAGCCGTTTTTACTGAGAAAGTTTAGGCTTCTTAAGGAGATTTTGACGGCTTGGCATCCACAGCAGCGCGGCCTGACAACTGGGGGATGACTACTTCCGTCCGCCATTTTGTGGCTCTGACTCATAGGAACTCTATGTGATTTCTCAGGAATAAACAAGACAAAGAAGTAACACCATTTTCTGTTATCGCGAAATCCGCTGGTACTAGCGGGCAACAAGCTCCGCCCACTGGCCAAACTGTCTCAGTATATATAAACGGCTATGGCCCAAATATTTCGGTTTCGCCCTCACACGGCTCCCGTCCGGGACGTCACGAGTTGTAATTATGGCCACTCATTGTCAGTTGCAAACTACAAGTTGGAGTCGTTGCATTCTTAAACCAAATACAATCAAAGTTGTCAGTCTGATATTTGCTCTTATTTCCGTCGATGAAAGCAAAAAATAATCGAAATGAAGACGTCCCAGTGAACGTTTGGCGCACCGCGAACGCCGACCACAGAGACGCGTTTCGTCGTGCACGTCGCCGATACTCAGTGACGGGTTAAGAACCCACTAGAGGCTCCGACTCCAGCGAGAGCTTTTTTTTTTTTTTTTTTCTTGTTGATAATACTTTGTCGCACGTGCGAGCAAAGCCCGGCGCGTGCTGTGGGTGGAACTTCTGCATTCCTAGCCTGTCACCTACTATACGTACGCGTTCTCAAACAAGAAAGTCGTGCACTTACCTTCCGCTGTGCTGCACGCAACTCTCGAGATTAAGTATGTGCCTTTCCAGTGGTTTTCAGTCAGGCAAAATATGTCCAGTCAGGGAGCCGTGCTCGGACGCGATGTACAACCCAATAGAAATATATTTAGCGCATAGGAGGAAACCGTTGAAGCAACGTCTCTTCCCGGAGATTGTGGCCTGGAAAGCAGCGAACTACTGCGCAGATTTTCAATTTACGCTTGAATTCGGAGCTTTTGTCCCAGCTTAAGTTTGTTGTCGGATTCCTTTGTTATATTTATTATGTTACTTTCTTCAGGGAGAAGAAAAAATGGATTGTCGTTTCAGACAAACACGCAAAAATAAAAATGACGAAGTAGAGAGCTGGGATACTTGGTAAAAGTTTAACATGATGTAAGTCTAACAGCGCGTAACAAAGAAGACTAAGAGAAGAAACCCACAACACAGGACGAGCGTCGACCCGCAACTAAATGTTTAAAAGTGAAAACAGAAACCAGGAAACATAAAAGGCACACTCAGCCACGCAAGCGCCACTTAAACTGTCTTGTCATAAAGGGCTATCTCTTAGGAAATCATCGAGATAAGGTGACGAGAGGAGTGACAGAGGACCTCCATATTGTTAATTACGGAACGCAATGTGTCAGTAAGCCGTCGTTGGCGCTATCGAGTAGAAACCCTTTCTATTTACTCTGGATTGGGGCGGGGGGGGGGGGGGGGGGGGTCGTTAGCCATGCGCTGATAGATGAAGCCCTTTGTGGCTAGACAGTTTGGCTGGCGCATGCGTGGTTGAGCGTGCCTTTTTTTGTTTTCATTGTTACGCGATGTTACACTTACACCATGTTAAAAATAATGTTAATTCCTTGAGTGAGCATGCCCTCATAGATAACAAAAATGGCGGCATCCAGTATCTAATTTTGTTTTATCCCCAGAGTGGAATTTCTAACGTCTTTTCTTTTTTTTTTCTCTCTCTCTCTTTCTCTTTTTAACGCCATTTTAACTTGTCCGGGTTAAAGCAGTTCATAGTTAATAGTTTGGTCATTGCTTCTGAGGCGTGCTGTTGTGTTTTGGTTTCCACATTCAAAGTTCAGCTGTATTCGCACTTGTTTTCTTTTTTTATACATTGCTTTACCTTGTGACCACTGCTTCTATAGAGAATACTTGCAACAAATAGTCAGATGCGGGCGGTTGGTTCAACGAAAAAATGCAGATATTCAAAGAGTCTGTCCATCGCGGTGCACACACACACAAAAAGTTTACCGATTTAAGGCGAAACTTAAACAAATGTTCATTTCAGCATGATGATGAAGACGCTTAGCATTTACATTGCATCGAGATATAAATGGACTTTGTTGTAATATTTATATATCTGCAGATCTTTGATTTGTTACTTTTATTAATTTCGTTAAGGCAGAGATTAAACTGTTGGCGTTAATATATTTCCCTTCCGTGACAGCTCGGAAAATTTCACAAGCAAGTTCAACAAACATATTTTGCTAGTAAAACAACTAACGTGATTGTTGTCCTATAATTAGACGAACCAATAAAATGCCCATATAAGGTTATAATTAGAATCCAAGTGAGAGTGTAAAGCTATACTGGCTACGCCTCGGCAGTCAGAGCAGAATTTATTAATGGTGTAAATAGTACAAACAGTCACCTTGTCAAGTGGACAAGTTGATGAATTTTATTTAATCAGACACTCTGGTCTGGCATACACATTTATTTGAATAGCAGCAACTATCAAAGACATTATTCGGACGACGACCAAGCACAGTTTTCGAAGGCTTTGCAAAACTGTATGATGAAACCAACTAAATTTTTTTTTCTATTCGTTTTGTTATGATTACATCACATACCTAACACCAGAAAGGTACGACAGGAAAAATAAAACATTGCACAGCCCAAAATGACAAGAAACAAACAAGAAAACAAGCTAGTTGATTTACAGGTAAACTGATCCACATGGCAATAGACCATTCGTATTTTTCAACAGGTTCTTATTTCTGTCGATTTATTACAAATCATCAAGTCATCTGGCCGCAGCTTCCAAACCACACGAAACAGAGATGTATTGTAAAATCTTGGTCTCCTGGGCAAGTTGGTAATGGACATTCATATTAAAATTATTAAAAATAGCTCAAAAAAGACGGGACAGAAAGACAAAGAAGCACACAGGACAAGCGCTATCGCTCGTCCTGTGTGCTTCTTCGTCTTTCTGTCCCGTATTTTTTGCGCTATTTTTAATATTTTTAATACGAAACAGAGCTTTTCCATTATGCTTTATTAAGGATTAGTTACTCAACAAGAAAACATAAATATGTGCGTGAAGTCGACAAAAGATACTCGAAACCCCACCGCCGTCTTTGTGCGTGCATCGTATCGTTATCGGGTTTCGTCATTGGAGGTATCGGAGGTTTTAGAACGATGTACTGAAACTCTCTAATATGTAAAGCTTGGGAAAAGCAAAGTAACGGAAGATTGGAATCAACATTGCGACTGGCGTAGCAGACGACGAAAGTGGGTGCACCCTGAGCTGAAGCTCAGGGTGCATCCACCTCTAACCTCGAGTTTAGATAGCGCATAAACTACAAATGAAACATGTATAGAGCAACTCTAGTTTTCAGAAGCATACACGGATTCGTAATTCGTAAATCTTTGAGATACCGAAAGGCATACTAAAAAAAGAAATTTTACTCAAAGGCTCCTGAGACTTAGGAATATTAGGAAAGAATAAAAAGATACACCCGCACATGTCCATATGCACTCGAGCTTGTCACATATTTGCAGTGTCCCAGCGTAACTTAATAATTTTCATGTGAATTCGTTGGCGGTTTTAATGCAGCATCTGTCTTCGTAGGGCTTTACAAAATATTTAAAGTTATCATAGAGACTGTCGAAAACTGCTATTTCTTAGGGTTGCATAGTGCCGACAAATGTACGAACCATCAAACGGCTATTTTTTTTTTTTTTATACACTGTCGTTCTAAGTCAAGAAGGTTATAAAGATTATGTAGAATTACCGAAGCCCATGGGTTACACGATGTCACCACCTCTGTGGCATTAGCTTCTCTAACGACGACGACGTCTTCGGCGTTCCTCTGCACAGGGCTCCGGCTCCTGATCAGTGCCGACGCCGCCGATCTTCTGACACGTCAAACTCAAGAAACTTGACTCCGACTCTTCTTGAATGTAGCTGCTCACTTCTCCATCGACTGCGATAAGCGGGACCCTGGTGATGTTCTTCTGCACCTTCCACGTCTCTTGAGCGACCTTTAGTATATAGGCGTTGCCGTTCTTCGTAACGCACCCATGGACCATGGTCCAGCTAACGCCACTTGCCTTCACACACTTCTTGGCAGCCTTATTGGGGACCTTGTAGCTAGACATGCAGGCCACAACTTCGATGGTTTGGAGGGTCTCCTTGGCCACCTGCGCCACACACATCTGGATCTTGTTGCCTTCGCATTCGGCGCTTCCGCGCTCGCAGATGACTCCGTTTGAGGTCGGTCCGTTCTGGTCCAGCATGGCCTTGCCGAATGGCAAAAGGGTGACGTCCAGATGGTCCCGAAGCTTCTTGTATGTGGGTAACAGCTGACTTTTGATGAATTCTTGGCTGTGCGAACAGAAACAGTCGTAGATGACCGTAACTGCGACTTTTTTTACGCTCACGCTCAGCGATTGGGAACTGCCGCCCTTAACCATATCGGAGTTTGGGAGTCCAAAGTCAAAGCCAGAGCTCGGCGGTGAAGTCGAGGTCGAAGGTACTACTGCCACAGCCGTTGGTGCTTCCGTGGTTGTTGTAGTTTCCGGTTCTGGTGTGGTCATTGGTGGCCTTGATGGAGGTGACAGTGTGTCCTTGCGTCGATGCGAATCCTTCTTTTCTTTTTTATTAAATTTGAAAGGGAATCTTGCTTGACCAGGTTTCGGATAAGCCTTGCGATATCGATTGTCGTCTTCGTCGCTGATCTCGTTCTCCATACTATCAATACTGTCGAAGATATCCGCTAGACTCTGGCCTACAAAAAGGCACACGAATGCCACACCGACTGCCCACCCACAGCAAGGGCTTTTCATATCGCACAGAATACGTCAAGCACCTCTGCAAAACAGCGCCCAAAGAGCACACGATGATGCCAAGCTCTTAGATCCGGTAGCAACAGCAATACCACTCCTTAAAGCGCGTGAGGGGTATATCTATTCAATCTGACAGGCTCGGGAAACAAGGAGTGGCGTTTCAAGACAAGACAACACCGTTAGCAACTAAAGACGTCGTTTCTCCCGCTCATCCTTTCTACTAAAAAGTAATGAAAATGTTTTTAACAGCAGCAGCTTCCACGCTTTCTCGAAGACCACTCCTCTGCATTCCATGAGGTTATTAGAGCCCAACAGAGTTGAATACTATTTGGAAAATACCGAAAAATATACTGCGCATGCTTGAATGAAGCTTGAAGACTACTTCTCAAGGTTGCGTACTCCGAAGACTCTGAAGTGAAATCGCAAAACACGAGCCATCTTCATTTCGTTCTATGCTCAACATATGACCATAACCGATGTTCATTGTAATAGTAATGTTCGGAACTTTTATGCCTGATATGAAACTTCAATTCTTGGAAAACTTACTGTTTTTCTGGCAACAATACTCGTGTAATTAATTAAGAGTTATACGGACCGTTTGGAACACAAGGCTTAGACTAAATTTAATATGAGGGAAGGAATGACATTTTATTTATTTGGATGGTTGTCTTGTGACAAACAACCACAGAAAAGCTTCTTACTTCAAATCCTATGTCGAATTTGCACTTACAAATTTTGTTCCTCGCAACGCATGCTCACTCTATCGTCTCCTTTGCATACATTAAAAAGTATAAATAATAAATTGCTTAGTCCGCATGAAATCCACCGTCTCATAAATAAGGACATTAAGGCCACGGGACCTGATAAAATTGCCAATCGCGTGCTGAGTGTTCTGACATTTTGTCATACTTTCTTTGTGCGTGAAACTGTGTTCGATATTTGTTATTGTGCGGGAAACTCTCCAGTGAGTGAACAACTGAGAACGTTATACCAGTATATAGATAAGGCGAGTTTAAAAAGGAACTCTCAGAATTACAGACCAGACGCTCGTTCAAAAATCTTGGGGGGAAATATTATTCACAGAAGTTTAGTGACCCATCTAGATTTCCATAATAAATTCTCCTTTTACCAGCATTGTTTTGTAAATATCTTCTTTTTAATTCCCAACTCAGACTTTTATCATAATGATGTCTCCGGAGAAGCTATTCAAGTTGATGGTGTTTTCTTAGATTTTTGGAACGCTCTTGAAATTCTCCCGCACAGATTTATTTTAATCAAAGTATCACATTCCTGAGAATATATTTCACTGATTATAGACTACTTCGCCAATCAAAAACAACGTGTTTTCGTTAATAAGAAGAAAGCAGAAACGGTAGATGATATTTCAGGTTTTCCCCAGGGTTCTCTTTTGGGACCTCTGTTGTTGTTATTATTTTTATTTTTTCCGGACCCCTGCATCACCCGAAATAACAAATGACCAAACAAAAAGAACTCGTCGATTTACACGGAACGTAATACACGAGAGTATATCATTAGCACTTTTAAAGCATTATATTTTATAACGATTTCTTAGAAATAGTCAAGTTACGTAGCCGCAACATCTAAACAACATAAAAAAGCTTTTTTGTAGGGAAACTTGGTTTCAAGAAAACACATGCGCAACAACAAAACTTAATTATATGCATGAACTCGACAATACATAAACAGAACTGTGATTAGGGCGCCATTAGAGAGGTGATCAGTAGTTAGCATTGAACCATTATATTGAATGAACAAAACTATAAATTAACTGTTTTGACGGATGTCTGTAAAAATATTGCTACAATCGAGGGCTCCAAAATATTTCAATGTAAAAAAACGCATGGATATTCTTAAAATTACATAATTGATACATAATACACATCGACTTGTTTGGCTTGAAAACCCGAGAACTGAAGATTTTATCTACAGAATAATTCTGGATTATTTAGTTGACACGTAACCAGAAAAGCTGTTGACAATATTTCCTTGTTGAATCAATGACCTTCAGGATAACTATATTTTGACAGTCTGTCTTTTGATTTAGGTTTCACTGGGTTTCTTCGATGAGTAATAGTGCCCTGTCTTAATTCTCCATGTTGGCGACACTCTTTTACCGGGGACGGCGCCGACGCGACGAACTTATGACTCCATGTCCAGCGAAAAAAAAAAAGAAACCTCCAAATACATACCAAATTTCCTCAAATGCCTTGAATACAATAGTTAATATGTATTTCTCCTTAGATTAGCCTGCTTTGACTTTCTCGCTCAACGTCACCCCAGCACATTAAGCTTTACGGAAATGAAGGGACGGAAGGTTGGACTCGACATGGCAACTGACGTAGTAGACGATTCAAGAGGCTCTACCCTGAGCGGAGGCCACGTCAGCATGGAGGCACTCTAGTTTCGTTGAGACGTGAAAGCCCCGCGGCCGCGGCAGTTTCCGAAAGACATGATAAAATAAGCCATCCTACAGCACGCTTTCCGAAAGAGACTTAAAAAAAACCATAATACGTATACACCTTCACATGCACATGGGGATGAATATATTTCGCATAACTGATATTCTGAGAATACCTTGAATATTTTTATGTGGAGTCGGTGGTAGGTTCTAATACATCACCTGTCTTGGCAATTCTCTTCAAAGTAGCTACAATTATATTGGTAACTATAAGAAACAACTAGGAACTATTAAGAACTACCACCTTTGCGTGCTACGTAGTCACCAGAAATGTATAAATCATAAAGCGGCCATTCTTATTTAGATACGCGATCGTTCCTTCTCAATAGGGTTATAAAGATTCGGCAGGGTTACGGAAGCATATGGCTTACACGACGTCAGCTCTGCAGGAGCGTCAGCCTTTCTAACGACGACGACGTCTTCGGCGTTCCTCTGCACAGGGTTCGGGCTCTTGATCAGTGCCTTCGCCGCCGATCTTCTGACACGTCAAACTCATGAAGCTGGTCTGCGACTCTTCTTGGATGTAGCTGCTTACTTCTCCATTGACCGCAATCAGCGGAACCCTGGTGACGTTCTTCTGCAGCTTCCACGTCTCCTGGGCAACCTGGAGCACGTAGTGATTTCCGTTCTTTGTGACGCATTCGTGTACCATGGTCCAGCTTACACCGCTTGCCTTCACGCATTTTTTGGCAGCACTGTTGGGGACTTTGTAGTTGGACATGCAGGCTACGACCTCGATGGCTTGCAGGGTCTCCTTGGCCACCTGTGCCACGCACGTCTGGATTTTGTTGCCTTCGCATTCGGCGTCCCCATGCTCGCAGATAACTCCGTTTGTGGTGGCCCCGTTGGTGGTAGTTCCGTTCTGGTTCAGCCTGGCCTTTCCGAATGGCAACAAGGTGACGTGAAGACGGTCTTGGAGCTTCTTGTACGTCGGAAGCAGCTGGCTTTTGATGAATTCTTGACTGTGAGGGCAGAGGCACTCGTAGATGACTGTGACAAACACTTTCTTCACGTTGACGCTGAGCGAATCGGAACTGCTGCTCTGGACCATAGCGGAGTTATGGATTTCGACGTTTTTGATAAAGTTAGATGAGAAAGCCGGGGTAGTTGGAACCACTGCCACAGTTGTCGGTGCTTCTGTCGTTGTTGTTGTAGTCGGCGGCTCCGTGGTTGTTGTAGTCGTCGTTGGCTCTGTGGTTGTTGTAGTCGTCGTAGGCTCTGCTTTAATCATCTTTGCAGGGGATTTGCTGCCTTGCTTGCGGTAGTAACCTCTCTTGGAATTGCCAGATTTGTAAGGGGGTTCTTTGTACCCATATTTCGTACCCCTATTCTTGGTGTTTCGTACTTTGCTTTCATCAGGACCACTAATATCGTTGTTCATAACGTTGAAATCGATGTAAATATCTGCAAGAGTCTGACCTACAAGCAGCCAAGTGAATGCCACCCCGACTACCCACTCAAAGCACGGAGTTTTCATAGCGCACAGAAATCACGTCAGGCGGGCACGGCAAACAACATCCGAATAACACGCGATGGAAACACTCATGAAGATTCGATAGCAACAGTAGCACCACTCCCTAAAGCACGTTTGTGGTAGGTCTACCTAATCCGATGGGCTTAAACAACAAGGAGCGGTGTTGCAAAGCAAGTGAACGCCGTTAACAACCAGAGGTGTCTCTCCCATCATTCTGGCTGCTGCGAGTAACTCGATCAAAAACAAATGTTTGAACAGCAGCAGTAACAGCGCAAGCCACAGCACCACTCCTATAAATTCCCTTCCATTTGCCTTTGAAACCTTACAGAGTTCAATGTCTTTTCTTAACTGTCGACGAGTGCGCTGTACATTGCTAAACGAAACTTGATTGAAAATACACTGCGTTTCAAGCCACAAAGAACTTCAGGACTTGGAAGAAACTCTTCGAAACGCGAGACATTTTCATATTGGTTTCAGTTCGGCGTTTTACCATAACTAACAAGTTTACTGTGATATTAGGAAATTAAGTTTTACGCCTAATCTAAACCTTTATTCCTTTTAAAACTCGCTGCTTTCGTGGCGACAACATTCGCGTAATCAATTAAGAATTCTTCCGACCGTTGGAAACACAAGGTTTAAGCTACACTGAATATAGACCAAAGGAAGTCAGTATCTTTTGCCTCTATAACCTCCAGGCCTCCACTAAGTAGCTTCTGACCGAGTACGTAATGTTTCTATTACGCATGGACCTATATCTTAAATCGCATGCTGGCCCCATAGCTTGTGTTTCCTTTGTCACTAATCGGGAAATATTGGTCTGCTGCTTTCTCCGGAGAGACAAGGGAGATTCTTGTTACAAACCTGCTTATACAAGTGTATCCCGCAAAGAATACTTCGCCGCAGTAAATTTGTATCTTTCTCGCAGTCATGCCTGTAAACAGTAATAGTCAGTTCCTGAACATTGCATCGCTCAACGGTTTGTCATGCAGACTTTGGTTATAGAAAGGTCAACGTACGCCGCAATTTTGTTCATCTTCTGCCACAACTAAATTTGATAAGGATGTGCATAATAAACCCGTTAAGTTTTGACTCTAAAGCATGTTCATGCGGTTATTTAAATTAAAAATAAAACATTCTGAAGCATTTGCAAGTTTGAGTGGTACTCTCTTTTGAAGAACAGAAGATGGAAAAAGACACCCATAATTTTATTAGAAAATAGACGCAGATATGAAACCGCGATGGCAACGCCTGATGTGTCGAGTACCACGGTATAAACGGAAATGCATTGAAAATCGTTCCCGCTTTTAAGGTTATTGGGTTTTTTCGTTGTTTGTTGTATTGATTATTGTAAACACAAACAGATCTTGGCCTTAGTAGTGAGCACATTATGAAAAAAAACTAAAGCGAAAAGAGACGCAATACCTTATAATTTAAAAAGTTAACCTAAAGCAGTTTATACCAAAGAAAGGTCATTAATGTGCCAACGAGCCTCTTTTAAGTGTTACAGGGGCGCAAAATAAATCTAAGTCACTCTTTTCACGGTTATAAAAAAGCTGTAAACGTTCTCGGACGCAGACGTCCTGGATCGGGGACGCGATACGCATTGAAAAGGCGCATAAATACGCATTGACTATACTTTGTACAAAAAGAAACATATCTTGAATTAGCCTCATTTCATGCAAAGGTAGAAGACCATCCAGGTTAAGAAGCTTTTGGTAGTTAGTTATACGTAAAATGTAGTTTGCGAGTATATGTTTAATATATTCGTATTACAAGCGAGCAGAAGCGTTACATACAAGGGTGTGATATCGTATGCATAAAAGATGCTTCATACCCCCGACCACACGTGCCAAAACAATTCACTTTACATTGCCACGCGCCCGCCCAGTACCTGAAGCACTGCACATAAGCGATGTGACGGAATAACATATCAGTAAAATGTATAATTTAACATACATTTCATGATATATTGAAAGAGCGTGATTCAAGAAAACGATAATCTAATTATATATTGTCGCTATATTTTAATGCTAAGCCTGCTCGAAAAAAAAGAAAAGAAAAACACGGTTGTCGCAAAAGCTTATTTTTAAGAAGAAAAGTTGTAATTAATTAATCAAGCGACACTATCAGTCACATAATGACACGTCTTTTCTACTAAAAATTTTTAATGTTATTTATTAGAACGCAAGGTATTTTTATCAAGCTGCAATTTTAGATTTTTCGTTATCTCGCTCACTTTACTCCCTCTAGCAGCACGAGACTTCGTCCTAAGACGTTCACAAAGTGTTAGGGAACAATCGATTGAAAAAGTGGAAAGTATTTTAATGTTAAAATAAACAAAATTAAAAATGAACTCCTCAAATTCATCGAGATTCAATGAAGATGGTCGAATCCGTAATAAATGAAAAATGATCTCAATTACAGGCCAGGAACGGCATATAAATGCCTTCTTACCAAACGGACAGCAGTGAAAATTATATTAATTCCCCTCGTTCTCTACTATCCATACTATCCGCTGTCGAATCATTACGAACTGGCTAAAAGCTGTCTCGTAAAGCGCGAAATTAAAAAAACCAATCATGAAAGTTTTTTTTTTTTCTGCAATAAGTATAATATTACTAACATTGATAATCCGGAAACATGGGATTTCTACAGCCTCATTGTTTCTTTTGGAGAAAACAATTGGCAGAGACCTTTAAAGTTCTATATTGTATGAAAATGCAGTTGTAGCTGCGATTGTTTTAATTATTTGGAAGTAATTGAACAGTCGTTCCGGGATTCCGGGAGTGAAGACCCTATATTTCCATCAATTTTGGGGAGACATAGTTGGTGTGTCACGTTACCTAGGAGGGAGAGGGGGAAAGGAGGTAAATGGGGAGGGGGAAGAGGGTTGCTAAAGGAGGGAGGTGGGGAGAGGAAGTGTGAGGGAAAGAGGAAGGAGGGAGGGAGAGGGAAGGAATGACATAGAAATGGGGAGAGAAAATCGGTGTGTCGGCGTCATGTATACACCAACTCATGTTTACAAACAAACCGGAGCGCCCCTAGCGGACGCCACCGGTGCCGCGCATGCGCGATGGGGGTGTGGGCAAAAAGCTCGCCGTCGCCCATAAACAAACCATTGAAATGCGATGTTGTCGGCGTCGGTGTGAGTCCCCCTGCCCTTTTTCGCGTTCGCATTGTTGATTCTACGTCTTCCTGGCAAGGTCTGACTACTTCAGCGGCGTCAGCGAAATTACCGAGGCTCGTTACACCGCAAAACTTCGCGTGAATAATGTGACATGCGACGATTCATTCCGCGTGGACGCCGCAGAATGTACGCTAAAGCCTGAGTCGCATGATGAGATTTCGCTCGCAATTTTCAGTCCGGACGTCGGTCGGGCTGCAAAAGCTTGAACCGTAGCTGAGATGGTCGACGCCGATACCGAAAATCGCAAGCAGAATCTAACCAAGTGAATCAGGCATAAGAAGTCGGTGATGGCCACTGGTAACAATTATCAATGCATCCTTGTATCCACTGTTTACATTGAGCCTGGTTACCAACCTTCAAATTTGAGTCTTTTGAGGCCTGCACTTACTTCTTATCGCAAGTACCGGGCCCACGTTTGGTCTATGGGCAGGTGTCGTCTAAAAGAGCAGACGACAAGCAGAAGCGTTTGAAAGAGCAGACGGCAGTTTAAACAGTCAAGCGGCCGTTTGAACTTGAAGACGCACTGAACGTAGTCCGCAGGTGGTCCGTACAACCTCGCGGTTTTCCGCCGTTCGTGTTAGAACAAAACAAACACATTTGATGACCAGAAGTATCCGTGAATTGAACCCAAAGTGCTTCCCGCCCAAGCAATCGTGGTCGACGGCGTCTGGTTTTCCCTTTTCACAGCACATATCCACCTTCTCGGACGAACCGAGCACATGAAAACTGGCCTTCAAACCTTTCTCGACTCTTTTAGTACAGCCCCAGTCGCGGCGTTTTGACGAGAAGGCAGGTTTTTGTCAGGTTCCTTTTAAAACAACGCAGGAATACACGTCTCGCATGGGGACTTCTGCCCACAGCCCCAGACCGGAAGTGCGACCGACGCGCCACCACCGCGCCGTGACGTAACAGAGATGAGTTCGTGTATTTGTAAACCAATCGCACACAGTGAGTGCGGCGTAATCTTCCGTTTATTTTTTGTTCGCGGGATTGGTTTAGGCGGTGATATATCGAACGCACAAAGGCGAAGAGCGCCATGACGATGCACTTTTGACGCTGATTGGTTGGCTTTATCCAATCGTAGGATTAGCTTAAGTCGGACTTCGTGTGAAACGTAATATACATAGTCCGAGTCCTTCGTCATCCACAACTTGATTCAGTTTAGTTCGCCTAGCGACGGAGCAGAAAGGGTGTGTCACGAACCCTAAAAAGCGTCGTTATTTTTTTTTTTTTTTTTGTTGCTGTTGTTGTTGTTGTTTTTTTTGTTGTTTGCGCTGATGATTTGTTTGCCTTTCAAGTTGAAATGTAGCAGCTGTGCTTAGGGACATTACGGAATCACTTACCCGTACCGGTCTTCTTTTCAAAGACACGGAGAAAAAGCGCTGGAAGCGGGCGGCTGACGTATGCTCTAGTAATTACCACTCTTGTTTCCGATGTCCATATCGAAGTTGTTTTGTTGCCAAACCCCTCTGAAAGCAGTATTCACGTAAAAAAGGGATACGCGACTTAACTCGAAACCTTATATCTAATTATGAGGCAATATCGTTGCATCATCAGTTGATGCAGCACCGCAGGACCTCATGGTGCGGGCGACTTACCTTTCTGCAGCGCTGGATCTGAAACAAATGTCACCATCACAATCGCTAACTGTTTTGAGATCTGTGCCTCAAAACATACCCTGAACGGCATTCTTCTTTATACGTCAAGCACGACGCAGGGAGTCATAATATCCTGGTTCCAGTTTTTCTGTGCGGAAACACAGAAACACCGAGCTCCTTTAACTCCGCTTAGTCGGAATCATTCAACATTTGAAGCTTTGTTAGTTCGCTTT